AAAAAAAAAAAAAAAAAAAAGAATAATCATAAGGACAAATTCATAATAGCCCTAAGAAGAAATAACCCAAATGCCCATCAACAAGAGAACAGATAGATAAATTCAGCTATATTCATATAATAATATATTATAGAGCAGTAAAAACAAATGTATCCTCATGGATGAATCTCACAGAATGTTGAGCAAAAACATAAGTTATAGAAGAATACATACAGTATGATTCCATTTATATAGTGTTTATAATATATAAAACTATTATTTAGGGAAGCAAAAAAGGACATGGTCTTTCTATTATCTTCTTCTGGAACTCTGATTAGACATTCTATACTCATGTCTCTTGACTTCTATATTTCAATTTGTAAAAACAGTGCCACACTGTGTAATTCCTTCAGCTCTGTCATCCAATTCACTAATTCCCTCTTCAGTTTTATCTACTGTTTAACTTGTATTCTAAGTTATTACTTTCAATGATTGTATGTTCATTTCTAGAAGTTCTACAGTTTTCAAATATATCTTGTCACTTTTGAAAATATCTTATTCCATTGTCACACTACCTTTTTTTTTTTGTTCTTTAAACATGTCAAACAATTACTGTGAACTTATATTCCTTGGGACCTTATCTAGGCTCAAAGAGTATTCCTCCAGAGACAATCGGTGTCTACTTCTGCCAGGTTCATGGCTCTCTAACAACCTGACTACTTTAAACTTAATTATGAATTGGGGGTTTTTCAGGTCATGTAAGTAGTATGAGATTTGACCCCTGAATTCATGGTGGTTTGTGGTCAGAAATTCTCTAGGGAGCTGTATTTTCATCTCCTCTCAGAGTAAAGGTTAAGACAAGGTCTCTTCTGAAGGGCAGGCTTTTTTCCCACTTACTCAAAGTGTGATCTTGGGGATTACATTTTTTTTTTGAGGAAAGGTCTCCATTTCAATCTCCTATCCTACTTGGTCCTAGGTTTTGTTTCTTGTTCTCCCCTGTATGCGTGGCTCATCAAAACCCAAGATCTCAGACACTGTGGATGGACAAAAACTCCTAGAATAAATGCTGACTAGCATCCTTTTGGTTTCTGATTCTGAGTGTCCTTACTAAATTTTTTCGTCAGTTCATTCAAGTAAATTTCTTTTCAAATTTTATCCAGCATTTTCTATGCTTTATGCTGGGAAGATTCTCTAAACATCTGGTCAGCCCTATGGCCAGAAAGGAAGCCTGCTCGCAATCTTTCTACCACATTTTGCTTTGTTTTCCTTGGTTTAATTTTTTGTCTCCTGATGGTGTCTCGCATACTTTGCATACGCATATTGGGTTCTTAGTTTACTTGAAATCGGCAATATCTTGAGAAAGATGCTCTGTATCTTCAGCAAGAGGCAGACTGGGGTCATGCTGCCTAGAGCATTACCACCACCAATTTTATAACACTGAAACATTAGTAGGATCATGTCATCCTACTGAAAAAAAAGTTAGCAGTTCCCCATTATCCATAGTCTTTCTTCATCCAGATATTCAAGGGTCTCCATACTGCCCACGTCTCAGGATGTACTCTCCTCTCCCATCAGAAGCTTCTTTTGATCTGTTTGGCTCTCTCCATGTGTGTACGAGGGGGGACCCAAAGAAACCAGAATTTATTTATTAAAAATTGTGTATTTATTCTTTTTTTTTTTTGGAGTCTCACTCCATCACCCAGGCTGGAGTGCAGTGGCACACTCACCACCACCCCAGCGTCAACCTGCTAGGCTCCAGTGATCGTCTCAGCCTTCTAAGTAGCAGGAACTACAGGTGCATGCTACCACACCCAGCTAATTTTGGATTTGTTGTAGAGATAAGGTCTTGCCAAGTTGCCTGGGCAGGTCTGGAACCCACGGTCTCAGGCAATCCACTCACCTCGGCCTCCCAAAGTGCTGGGATTACTTTTGAGAATACTCAAAGTATTCTCTGTTTGATGCAATACACCTATTGAGACGCTTTTCCCACAGCTCAAAACAGTCGTTAACTTGTCGATTTTGATGCCTATTAGTGCTTCTGCTGTTGTTTCACTTCTTCCACATCAGCAAAGCGTTTCCCTCTGAGGACTTTTCTCATTGGGGAAACCAAAACAAGTACTCAAGGGGAGATCGGGTGAACAGGAGGGTGGGGCACCCGGGGTCATGAAATTTTGGGTCAAAAACTGCTGAACACTTAGCATGGTGTGGGCAGGTGTGTGGTGATGATGGAAGAACCAGTCATCTGTTTGCCACAACTTGGGATGTTTCTTCCAGAAATCATGATGCGACCTTCTCAAAACATCCAGATAAAAACTTTAGTTGTCCGTTGGATCCGGAGAAACACATTCCAAGTGGGGCCTGCCCTCCAAAAAGATAATTCCGGGTTTCTTTGGGTCCTCCCTTGTATTTTTGCTGGGTATTCACCACCCACCAGATATTTTGCCAGGGATGTGGGATATAATATGAATAAGACATGGTCTCTACACTTGAGGACTCATCTGGGAGGCAACAGACAGGCAAGCAGGTACATTATGCAAGCAGGTACATTACAGGGGGTAGCAACACTGTTAGGTGAGGGGGCTGTGTGACAGGGGCCCAGAAAGGTGAATAAAGGGCCAGGCAGTGAAGGTGCTTAGGTGTCAAGCTGTATAATTTGACTTTTGTTATCAAACAAGAGATAGAATCGGATCTCTGACTTGGGAAGAGAACAGAGGAAAGAGGCCAGAGGCAGAGAAGCTAATCAAAGGCTGTTTTAAGAGTCCAAAGGGAAGATAAGATTCTAAACTCTAGCCTGATCCCTTCCTTTAACGAACTTATTACCATTCATTCTAGCAATTAACTGCTGCCGTACACTGTACTCTTTCATTTTTTTTGAGTTGGAGTCTCACTCTGTCGCCCAGACTGGAGTGCAGTGGCCGCGCCCGACCACCGCAGCCTCGGCCTGCTGGGCTCCGGCAATCCTTCCGCCTCAGCCTTCCGAGTAGCCGGAATTACAGGCATGCACTTCCACGCCCGGCTGATTTTTTGATTTGTTGTAGAGATGAGGTCTCGCTGCTCAGGCGGGTCTCGAACCCGCGGGCTCAGGCAATCCACTCACCTCAGCCTCCCAAAGGCGCGGGATTATAGGCTGAGCCACCGAGCCCGGCTTCCAGAACTTTTTTAATCTGGCAAAATGAAAACTATGCCCATAAACAATAATTGCCCCTTTCCTTTTTCCCTCAGTCCCTGGTAACCACCACTCTATTTTCTGTTTCTATGAATTTGACTACTTTACGTACCTCATATAAATGGGATCATGCAGTACGTGTCTTTTTTGTGACTGGCTTATTTCTTTTTCTTTTTTTTTTTGAGTTGGAGTCTCACTCTGTCGCCCAGACTGGAGGGCAGTGGCTGCTCCCGGCCACTGCAGCCTCGACCTGCTGGGCTCCGGCGATCCTTCCGCCTCAGCCTTCCAAGTAGCCGGAATTACAGGCATGCGCTACCATGTCCAGCTGCTTTTTTGATTTACTGTAGAGATAAGGTCTCACTGCCCAGGCGGATCTTGAACCCGCGGGCTCAGGCAATCCACTCACCTCAGCCTCCCAAAGGCGTGGGATTACAGGCTGAGCTACCGAGCCTGGCTGCACTGTACTCTTTTAAGATAGATCTCAATTATAAATCTTATCACACTATAAAGAAAGGGCTGATTTTCTTATTTTTCTTTCCCATATGTCTTACTTGTCCCTGTATAACTACACCTAACCCGATTTCTGGTTAGAACATGGAACATAGTCACTACATCTTTACTGAATTAATTAATCACACTGTTATCTCCATGTTGGGCCTTACCTGCCCAACTAGATAAAAGTCTTTGGAGACAGGAAAACGGCCTGTACTTCTTTGACATTGCCTAGTGTAGTGATGATGACACAGTCGATTCTCAGTTAATAACTAGTGAACTAAATATAGTTGGAAAATGCTTTAGGGGATCAGATTTTCTAGCTCCAACTCTCCCTTTCTAGAATAAGTTGTAATAAGTGCAAAAAAAAAAAAAAAACTGGCTTAGAACATCACTGATTTCCTGGCAACTCACATTCAAGAACGGTTGTAACTTTCCTCAAAAATAAGACTGAAAATACCTCGCCAATGGCCTGAATCTTGCCGAGGCAGTTCTTCATGGCTGTGCTGTCAGCACTCTTAAGGGTTCCCTCTTCATCCAGGGAGGCCAGATAGACGAGGGTTTCCCTGCCATACTGCTTACAGGCCTCAGTCAGTGCTGGAGATGCAAAGCGACAGAGACTTTTAAAGGCCCTCTGCTCGTCTGCTTTCATGAACAGCCCCTCATGCCCTGGTACTCACAGTCAGCAGGCTCTGGTGGGGCTCGAAGGCTGGTGGCGCTGCCGTGAGCAATGGTGTCACTGGTCAAGTAGGCAAGCCGGGTTACTGAATGGAGAAGCCCGCTGATATCTGTCAGGAGAAAAGAAAGGTTTTCAGGCCTGCTTGAGGGTGTTGCTTTCATTCCCCCACCCCTCCCCTACCTTATAAGTGGTAAACATTCCCTTCTTGGTGCACAGGAACTTGTCACCATTCCCATGTTCAAATGCTTTTTTTTTTTTTTTTTTTTGAGTCAGAGTCTCACTCTGTTGCCCAGGCTAGAATGCAGTGGCACAATCATGGCTACTGCAGCCTCAACCTGCTGGACTGAGGCAATCCTTTTGCCCTCAGTCCTTCGCCGCAGCTGGAACTACAGGCATGTGCCACCACGCCCAGCTAATCTTTTGATTTATTGTAGAGATGAGGTCTCACCAAGGTGCCCAGGTTAGTCTTGAACTCCTGGGCTCAGGCCACCCTCTCACCCCAGCCTCTCAAAGTGTTGAGGTTACAGGCATGAGCCGCCTTACCTGGCCTTTTTTTTTTTTTTTTTGTAGAGATGAGGTCTTACTATGTTGCCCAGGCTGGTCTTGAACTCCTGGGCTCAAACTCACATTCAAATGCTTCTAAACCCTGCCCGGCTGTCACTAATGACAGAGCCTATCCCTGGCCCTTCTTACCTTCTGGGCAGGCCAGATACTGGCTCCGGCTTTTTTCCAATTGCCCAATGCACCTGGAAACAGATTTGACCGTGGAGAGAAGGTGGTCTGTGAGAGGGAAGACGGAGTGAAGTCAGAGCAAGTTCTCATAGCTGGCTTCACCCTCATCAGCTAAGCCACTGGATGGAGGGGCTTAACTAGTGAGCAGTCCCAGCTCTCCAGGAGTCGCCCCAAGATAGGGGATGGGATAAAGGATTGTTGTCTATGCTGTTACGGATGTGATTCTCTTACTGGAGCTTCAAAAGCTATGCTCCTGAATCTCTCTGGTGCCTTAGCCAAGAACCAGGCACGCACACTGTCACTCTGTCGCCCAGACTGGAGTGCAGTGGTCGTTCCCAGCCATGACAGCCTCAACCTGCTGGGGTCCGGCTTCCGCCTCAGCCTTCCAAAGAGCTGGAATTACAGGCATGCGCTACCACGCCCAACTGATTTTTTGATTTTATTGTAGAGATGAGGTCTCGCTGCCCAGGCGGGTCTCGAACCCGTGGGCTCAGGCAATCCACTCACCTCAGCCTCCCAAAGGCGTGGGATGACAGGCTGAGCCACCGAGGCCGGCTTGATTTTTTGATTTATTGTAGAGATGAGGTCTCGCTGCCCAGGCGGGTCTCGAACCTGCGGGCTCAGGCAATCCACTCACCTCAGCCTCCCAAAGGCGTGGGATGACAGGCTGAGCCACCAAGCCCGGCTGCCTCACTTCTTGTTATTGCCCATCCTGGGTCATCTGGGCTTTCCTTGGAAGCTTTTCAAGGCCCTTCAAATCTCAGTGCTCTTGAACTAGACCCTTGGCTCTCTTAGGCTATTCTAGGCTCATGCTCTGTATGCAAGTCATTCCTGCCACCGTGCTGCCTCTGTCCATAGACCCATGGAGACCACAAAGCACAGGAGTTAAGAGTATGGGTTCCTGAGTCACACTACCCAGATGTGGTTCCTGGCTCTGCCACTCCTGGTTGTGGGATCTCAGTCTGTTTGTGTCTGCTTCTTCCTCCATGAGGGCCACCTCATGGCATCGTTGAGAGGACTGGCTGCGGCAAGGTGTGTAAAGCACTTAGGCTGGTGCCCAGCATGCAGGAAGCGTTCAGTCAATGCTAGCTCTTTTTATTGTTTGTATCCTCCGTCCTTCCTTCTCTGCACGAGTTCACATCGCTCCTGTTTCTTCAAAACCTAGCTCATAACATCTCATTGGAATTCACCCACTACAGCCCTGTTCCCTGGTATCCCCTCAGTAAATTAGGTACTCAGAATGCTCCTTCATTTGTCACTGTTTGTTTCTTTACAGATGGGTTCCCTGCTGAATAAGCTATAATGGTCATCAAATCAGGACTTTTCTTTTTGATAATAAAAATCGGCTGTCAGCTGTTTTCTCCCTTCCACTTTGTTACTTTACCAACATGTCTCGTGGGCTTGAAAATGAGCTGTATAAGATCCGTTCACGGCTATACCCATGACCTCACAAAGCCCCTGGGCCTGGATGCTCCCCCACAAAGCCCTCCTCTTTCCTCCAGGGGTCTCCTGACTCAATCATGAGCCCTCAGGACTCCCCTACAAGTGCAGTGGGCTTTCCTCCCCATGGGCACACTGGGATTTGTACTGTTTCTCCCATTCCATGCTTTATGATACCTCCCTGCCTGGAAATTCATGAGCAGCGACCTCCTGATTCAGGCTATCATTTTCTCCTTAGAGAAACCTGTCTGTTTCTCCTCCTATTTGCCTTCACAATTGTTTCGGAGTTCTGCTCCTAGGAGTTGTTTCATCATGGTGACCCACTGACTAAAAACATAGTTGTCACACCTGGGGACTTTAGAAATACTCCCGCCCAGGCTCTAAAGCATGGGGCTTTCGATTTAACTGATTGAGGATGGGTCCTGGACATTCCTAGGTAATTCTGACATGTAGCTGGGGTGAGGAGCCCAGAGCAAAGTATCCCATGGGATTCAGCACCAAGAGAGAGCCACAGACTATAAGGACCTGGCACCTGCAAGCCTGGCAATTGGAAGAGTACCTGCAGACCCAGCACAGCTGATGAGGGTGGGTTCTTCAAGCTGACTCAGGGCTTCTTGTATCACCTGCTCCACAGCCTTCCTGGACCCCACCAGAAGCATTTTTTGTTGGTCTTTTGCGAGCTGGCACATAGATTCCTAGAAATGGTCCAGGGAGGTGAGAGTCTGCCCTAGACACTATGATACATCCGACCAGCCTTGCCCTGTGACTTGGCTGGGGCTTCTGACATCTGAACTTGAGTTACTGCTAATGAAGTACAAGCCAGCTAGCTTGAAACAGAAAAATGCCTTCACTCTGTCCACGGGTGTGTGCTACTGACCACACAGGCTAAGGGGAAGGATGGACGCAACCCATTCTCACGGGGAGAGAATGCCTAACTTCCTGTTTTGTACGAAAAAGAGAGTGCTTTGCTTTCCCTCTTCGGCTCCGTGGGTAATATAGGACATGTGGGCATGAGGAACTATGCCTACAGAATGCCTGTGCGACAGGGCTGACACCCCAAGTCCCTTCACAGCACCCTCGTCCCCCACCTCCCTCCATGCATACAGGAAGGCCCATCAGTGTGAGTTCACAGGTGGTCAGCCCGCGTGGACATCCATACTTGCCTGCGTGCTGGCCAGTTTGAGCTGGGTGTACTCTAGCTGTTTCCGAAGAGAAGATAATTCCTCTTCCCGACAAGCTGCGGCTTCCCCCAGGCTGTCTCGCTCCTTCTCTAGTTCAGTGATTTGGGTCGCCCATTTTGTTTCCGACTGCAAAGGCGATCACAAGGGAAGAGGGAGATACTGGTTGAACTAAACTGTCCCAGCTGGGCGCGGTGTCTCCCGCCTATAATCCCAGCGCTTTGGGAGGCCAAGGTGAGAGGACTACCTGAGCCCACAGGTTCGAGACCTGCCTGAGCAACTTGGTGAGGATTTTTCTCTACAATAAATCAAAAACTTAGCTGGGCATGGTGACACATGCCTGTAGTTCCAGCCACTTGGAAGGCTGAGGCTAAAGGATCACCTAAGCCCAGCAGGTTGAGAATGTGGTGGCCATGAGCGTGCCACTGCACTCCAGCCTAGGTGACAGACAGGGTGAGAACTCGGATTAAAAAAGAAAAATCGAAAAATAAAAACAAAAAACTCTTCCCTTCCCTGAGGTCCAACCCACCACCTGGTCACAAGGTACAGGAGGTGATATCTCTTTAACCTGCCACTTCCAATCCCTGTCAAAGACACACTGATCACAGTTGGGGTCGGCTTGGCTACGTGCAGGATACTGGGTGCCAGCATACCGAAGCCAGAGGGAGGACAAGAAAGAAAGTGCTCACCTGGGCAGAAGTTTCCAGGCGGCCTTTGAGAACCTGAAGCTCCCTTTGGCTGGTGGCAAGTTCTTGCTTCAGGTTTTCTAGAACTTCCAGCTGTTCTTGAGTCTGAAAGATAAGAAAAACAGAACTCTGATTGGGGGGGGTGGTTACAAGCGACGTACAAATGTAAAAATTCTCCAAGTTACCAGGTGCAGTGGCTCACGCCTGTAATCCCAGCACTTTGGGAGGTCGAGACAGGTGGATTACTTGAGTCCAAAAGTTCAAGACCAGCCTATATAGCAACATAGCAGAACTCTGTATCTTCAAAATTGAAAAATTAGCTGGGCCTGGTGGTGTACACCTGTAGTTCCAGCCTCTTGGGAGGCTGGGGCAGAAGGATTGTCTGAGCCCAGGAGGTTGAGTCTGCAGTGAGCCGTGACTGTGCCACTGCACTCCAGCCTGGGCAACAGAGACTCTGACTTGGAAAAATAAAAAATCTCCAAGCTATCAATGAGTGATTTGCAAACTTTACTGTATGTAACTTATATCCCAACTGTGGGGGAGGACGAGGTGAATGTACCAAAAGTTTTTCTTCTGGCTAAGTGGAATGTCAAAGGAAGCATTCTAGGGACATTTCCCAAATGTCATACTTGAGCCCATAATACTAAAGTTGAACTGGATCTTTAATTCAGGCATCCCAACACTTAGCATGTTGCTGAACTACAGCATCTTATCATCTTGAAATGGTTCTTTTTTTCTGTTTCTTTTCTTTTTCTTTGATTTGGAGTCTCACTCTGTCACCCAGGCTGAAGTTGGCCACTGCACCCCCAACCTGCTGGACTCAGGCGATTCTTCCTCCTCAGTCTTCCAAGTAGCTGGAACCACAGGCATGTGCCACCATGCCCAGCTGATTTTTTGATTTATTGTAGAGATGAGGTCTCGCCATGTTGCTCAGGCTGGTCTTGAACCCCTGAGCTCAGGTAATCCTCTTGCCTCTGCCTCCCTAAAGTGCTGGGATTACAGGCACGAGCCATTATGCCTGGCTAATTTTTTTTCTCAATGATGTTTTTCAAAGAGCAGGTTGTGACCCATTAGTAAGAATTCACAGCTACATTTTTAAAAAATGGATTAAACAGAACAGAAAATATTCAAATGAATTCACCTACTAAGTATTGCTTGGTGAAACTTTTTTTATTTTTATTTTTTTTGGTGAAACTTTTTTAAAATTTTGAGTTGGAGTCTCACTATCACCCAGACTGGAGTGCAGTGGCCGCTCCCAGGCACCACAGCCCCGAACTGCTGGGCTCCGGCGATTCTTCCGCCTCGGCCTTCCAAGTAGCTGGAAGTACAGGTGTGCGCTACCACGCCCGGTTGCTTTTTTTGATTTTATTGTAGAGATGAGGTCTCGCCAAGTTGCCCAGGCGGGTCTCGAAGCCGCAGGTTCAGGCAATCCACTCACCTCAGTCTCCCAAAGCGCTGGGATTACAGGCTGAGCCACCGAGCCCGGCTCTTGGTGAAACTTTTATTCCAATGAGACACACGTATCTTTTCGTTGGGTCACAGCAATGTGTGAAAGCCCCTCTAAGCCTAAGGCGCTCGGTTTTATGTAGCTGACATCTCCTCTTCTGCCATCTCCTATTCCACCTCTAAGCCTCTGGTCTGCCTGCCCAGCCCACCCCTACACAGTGATGTTGTTCCATCTGCACGTCTGTTAATGCTTGTCCCTGTCTCTCTGGCCTCTCCTTGAGCCTTGTCCTGGTGAACCCCACTCAACTTGGGTCCTTCCATTCCTTCGTGTCCCTAAGCTGTAGATGCGCTGGTGACCACGTCCTGCTGTCCTGCGGGGCCTGCCGTGGCACTCTCCCCACTGTATGGTGCTGACCAACCTGCAGAACCATCCGTGGAGCAGAAGACCACAAAGTCCCCACCTCCAGCTCGGCAGGCCGCTCCCTCAGACGCTGATCACTTCTCGCTCCACTCACCTTCCGCTGGCCTTGTTCACTGATGCGCTCCAAGGAATCCTCCATCTCTTTCTTCTCTCGTTCCAAATCTACCTGGGCTTGTCTGGCCACAGACACCTGTTTGGTCACCTCTGCATTCTGTAACGGAAGAACAGTGTCTTGAACCTGCTGACCCCAGGCTTAACTGACATCTTCCTTCTAGGACAAATGACCACATTCAGACTGTAGGCGTCCTAGAGTCGGACACAGGGATCACTTTCCTACCGAGAGGGAAGCCAGAATAAAGCTATCACCTTCAGGTACTTGACTCTCGAGTGTTTACAAAATAACAAAGAAGGCGGGTAGCCTACGCGGGGCTGGCACCCCAGGATGCAGTACAAGACGTGGGAGGCAAGAAGCTTGAAAAGCTGGGGTTCCCAAGAGATGGTGGCAATGCCCCAGAAACGTGGGGCTGCTGTCCCCAGAGACAATGCAGGCCTGATCTGCTCTCATCCCGAGGTGTGGGGTCTGCAGGGGGCTGAGGGGGGCTGAGGGTCCTACCTTCCGCAGCAGGTCAGCGTGGTTCTGAACCAGCTCGCTGTACTTCTCCTTTAGCTTGCTATACCGCTGTTCATTGGCTTGGGCCTTCCCTGCATTGCCAAGGACCAAGGTGAGGAGTCTACCCTGGCTGGGGACCCTGTGCCCTCTTTCCAACTAGCCAGGGTCCCGCGAAGATCTTTTCTTTCCACAGATGCATATACCTTCTTCTCCCTCAAAAATTCTACTTAAATGCACTTCTCTGGGAAGCCGTCTTTTTTGTTGAGTTGGAGTCTCACTCTGTCGCCCAGACTGGAGTGCAGTGGCCGCTCCC